CGTGCAAGAAGCGCCAAACCTAGATTAATAATTACCCAAATTAGGGGCGTGTTAGAATGTCCTAGAAGATATTGCTAGCAGCCCAGGGATTACCCTTTGCAGAAGGTATAAGAAGAATTAATCATTTACAATAAAATCAATCTTTTGAACCATCTTTATTTTATTCTTAATCTGGTTGACCTTTATCCTAATCCTCAAGTGCTTCTGCGCAATCAGAAGCCATTGCTGGGCAATAATCATGGTTCTGTTCAAATCCTGGCCCTTCTGATACAGTACTACTCATATCCTCACATATGACTGTATTGAAGCAAATGTCCTGTGCCCTATAATCTCAAATAATTGTGGCGCTGTAAAGCAAAAAAGCGCGACAACATGCTTATAGTTAGGATCAAATTATTTACAGGCAGTAACATATCTCATGTCTCTTGGGGGTTCAACCCAGGATTGCACATTTTTAACCTTGGTTTCAACTAAGATTAAGTTGGGGATCTCATGGCATGAAGCCTCTTCAATTTCCTTACCGGGTATCCAGTTGTGAGGGATATCATACCAAATGATCTCTTCAATTGGGGTAACTGTCAAGTAAGATAGTGCATAATATAACCTCCCTGATAAGAGTGACAAGATGAGGGAATCATACCCCGCAAAATTGCCTCAGTAAGGGTAATCAACCTTGACAATTATATGCTGTATAATTTTTGATAGGCTTATTGCTACGGAAGCAATTATACATCATATAATCTCTTCTTATCATTCTTCAGGTTTTATTTTTCTCCTGCTATATTGGGGGACCCTCAGGATGCCGGGCTACTGGTGGTTGAGGGCAGTGGGAATTGGCCCCACCACCGAGTTGCTGTGCCATACAAAGGTTTCCCCCAGACAGGTGATTGTAGGTTGAAGCCTTAGTGCGCTACCCCAAATGGCTCCACCACATATGGAATATGCTTGCCTCAGACAGCTTCAAGCCTTTCAGCTCATCAATCAATATAGTAAGACAATACATAAACATGAACAGTCCGAAGGCAAAAGGAAAGCCCAAAGATCAACCCCCAGGAAAATTCAATTCCTATTTTTGGTGATACATGACAGTCAATCCATATGTCATATTCATAGGAAGTCCAGCAGTACACATCACATTTTCACTATTCTTTGTACTGGTAAGGTATTAGCCAGCCGTTCACAATAGAGGACCCTGAGAATGCGACAGTTTGTAATCATATCCACTGATCTCTTCTTATCATGATTGTGCTGATTAGGTGAATCTTTTGTCATCAACCAGCCCTATCTCACAAAAAATTAGGGCAATTACAAAAAGTTGGGGTTAGATTTAAAAGAACGCTCGGCTTATACAACTGGGAATTTAGCTCTATCCAGGCTATTCTGATTAAGCTGGATATAGTCACTCTCAACGATATATTTTTGAAAGGGAGAGATACCTTTTACCACCAAGATTCATCCCCAAATCTGCTTGATCAAGTTCTAATCACCAGGGTCCACTCACTTGCATCAAGAGTAAACTTAGTGTGAGGGGAGGAACCTTGGTGGCTGGGCTTTTAATTTTGCAGATCTGGGTTGGAACCTTGCCAGTAAATAGTGAACCGGATTCTGGTGATATCTATGAAGCAGTAAAAATTAAAGACGTTGCCCCCAAAGCTGAGCTCGGGGAAATATGAATCCCATGGGCTGAGACAAGGGATGGGGATACAGAGAACCTCGGCATAAGCAGCGGCAATGTCTACCACCTTACTCACTTTTACTAGCTTGATTATACTCCGCCATCTCTGAGATCTTTTCAAATCCCTCTGCCAAGTTCAGTCAGCTTCGAGATCTACAGCCAATTCAGCTTCGGGAAGCTTTTATACCATGTAGGATATGCTGTATGGTAAACCCTGTTGATTTAGTCAGATGGAGGCAACCTGGCAATTTTATCCGGGATCCCTTCCATCAGGCTGGCGATGCTGATCCCGAATTTAATCATGCTTAGCAAAGTTGCTACCCCTGGAAAATTTCCCTCGCCGGTGTGTATCAGCACCCCTGGAAGCGATAAGGCTTTTGTAATAGGAATGATTAGGCTGTCGTTGAATTTCCCAATCAAGCTTGGCTTCTTTGAAGTTGAAGCATACCAGCTTTCAAAACTTGAGAGCTTCGGATTTTTCCCGCACCAGTTGGATGAGGTGGCTTTTAGTTTAGAGTTAGATTTTTTGATAAAAAATACAAGTTAGAACTATCAGACTAATGAAATAAAAGCCCATTGATAGATTGGATAGCTGCTAATTAATAGGAAGATACAAGGCTGGCGCTGTAATAAAAGCCGGTGCATCTGCTTCGGCAGGCAGATCTAGTTAACTAAATCGAAGGTATATGAACATTTGAATTACTCGCGTGGTTTGTATGATAGTTTATGTTTAATTGGCTGGATTAGACCAAGTTCATTCTGTGCTATGATCTAAGGGTGGGGTGGTTTGATCAGTTTAGGCTATATACGCTGACCTTGTGGCGACTGAGGATATAGGAAGCTTCTCTTCGAATCTCTTCATGGTAGAGGAGCGGGAATAGAGCATTGATGAGCGAGATGCAGTTGGATAGACAACAGACGAGTCCGTCAAGGTAAGGGTTGGTTATAAACCCATATTGCCGAAAAGCAAGCAATTGGATAAAGTCGGGTAAGATTACGAACCAGTATGAGATGACAATTATCGTAGTCCCTATGATCTTTTCGCGGATCTTGGCTCTCGTGGAAGTCTCACCTCCGTAGATGTTTGAAACGAGGCGTGAGTAGTGAAAGCTTACACTGGCGTAGCAGAAGGGAATGATGACCAGGGGCGGCAGTGAGAGCCCATAGAAAACGACGGCAACAAAGTGGGGGAAGAAACCTGATTCGGTTTGAACAGGGGAACAGTATAGCTTCGAGGGGAAGACGTAAAGCGTAGAAAGCTTTGCACGGACGCTAAAAAGTATAGGGAGGAAGAGACAAATAAAGAGGGAGATGCATGTCCAACGGCGAGGGTGGGGCTTATGTCCTCGTACAATTACGAGATAGCGTACCAGGGACAAGAGTGCAACTAGAACTAAGCAAGCTAAACCGAAAGCTCGGCCCATGATAAAGGTAAGGGTACACCAATCGCTATTATCCCGAACCAATTCAGGATGGGTGAAGCGGATGGAGGAATTGGTGATGAGATAGGCGCCCAGAATCAAGTCGAGGATAGCAGTAAGGGTGATGAGGATGCCGTCAGTGGCCCAGCGGCTTTCTGTGCGGCGGTAGTTGGACCTAAGCAGAACTCCATTCAGCACTATTGACACACAGGCAATACTCAGCTGCAATGTCTCAATCCACCAAACACGCTCTGTGTTGCCAAAGAATGGAGTCATTGATTTTAGCTCCCCACTCCTCCCAAAGTTTATACTTGGACGGTCTCACACAAATGCGCCTCTGAACTTATGATTGTTTAAGTGGACAACTTCTATTTTCTTTTTCGGGATGACTACGATTTAAGAAGGTATCGTATTTAAGAAATCAATTTGAAACCCTTGGCAGATTTACATGCACCCAATAACTCATCAATTACGGCTTTCAAGTACATGACCTTAAAAGGGCACTTTTTACTTTGCATTTAAACTCTAAATCGATTTAACAGGTCAGGCTGCAGATCCAAACAATCAGATTTATAAGAGAAACTAGCAGCATGAGTAGTGCCACATCTTGTTTAATAACCACTGATTTGAAAGGATTTAATTGAATACCTTCAGGTGGCCCTAGCTAATGCCGATCATAAGACTAATCCACTGGATACCTGCCGCAGATTTAAAGGCAAAGAAAGGTCAGACTTTAAATTATTAAGGCTTTCAATTGTGAAAAACCTTGCTTCATTTCTGGCGTCGCAATTAATGTCTGAATCTTGTCGCTTTTTGATCTAACCAACTGCCATTTCGGCTCTACAACAAAGAATCACTCACCTTACAGCAGATACATGAAGCTGGAAGTCACTCTAGACTAAGGATGTTTCGGCTCAGCCTCGGCTAGCTTCCGGCTCGGGGCCGCTACAGCCAGAGCGGAAATTCTATATATTTAAACATTTTAAATAATTCTTTGATAAAAGTGCCCCTGAGCCAGAAACTAGCCGCGGCTGCCCAGGGCTTGGCCGAAGCAGCCCTACTCTAGACCAATCCCAAGCCGCTTATTCGGACCTACTAAACTTTATAATGGTACATTTAGTCAACTCTTTAAATTTCACTGTGAAAATGAATAATTTATTGTGATAGATCTTTTTCCAACTGAAATATGTTACCTTTGCACTGTAACGATGATTTAATAAAACTATTGGCTGACGTAGCAATCCTTGGATAATAATAGTTTCGGCAAATGCAAAGAAAGATGCCTTGCATCCAGCTGTTGGCCAAACTCGATCTCAAAGACAACAATTCAAAAATATTGATATGTTTAATATTTTATTTTAAATAGACACCCAAGCCCAGATAATTAACTCGCCAAATTGCATCAACATGACGCAATCTCATATTCCACATGCTCTATTCTACAATTAATTGGGCTTGAATGCATAGTAATTGATAGGCTTATGATTTAGCGATATACCAGCAGAAGTAAAATACCTTGCATGCAAAGCTCCCACCATGTACAATGCGACCATGATTTCACTCATTTGCTGAGCCCTATAAGCTATCTGCGATTGAATATCTAGCTTCAAACTTGTACTTTAAAAATAGCTAAACTATAGCTTCATAATCTTGTCATCGTAAGCAGGGATCTAGCATATGCATAATAAAAAATAAGATTTAAATATATCTTTAAACCTAAACCGTACCATAACACTTCTCTTGATCTAATCAATCTGAGATGTCTAAGGGACAAGCATGTCGGATTCTGACTGGTTACACACTAAGCTGTATAATAACAAAAGCTTGTATCGCTTCTATTGATGATTGATTTCTCCCATGCAAGTATTTTAAAAGTTGTCGGGATGACTCCCCAAAGAGTTACCGGCCCAATGGTTTAGTGGCATGATTCTCCCATAGGGTGGAAGAGGTCCTGGATTCGATTGCTAGTTGTGCCCAACATTGTAAAATCTTTAAATAAAGAAATGTAAGGATTAAAAATGGTTCCCCAAAGGACTGCGGGGCAATTTTTCCGTAAGAACCTTAGGACAGAAGACATTTGGGAAAAATTACATACCTTTCCTAAAAGGCTCGGTTAAAAGCCGGCCGGAAAATCCCTAAATGCTATTGGTTGGTTTAACGCAGCTAGAAATGTTTCACCCAGCTGCGGCCAGTTTTTGGCTCCAGGTCGCATGCATCAAACATTCTTTTAAGAATTCTAAATATCAAGTGATTCCGTTCTGGCTGAAGCGGCTCAAAGCCGGAAGCTAGTCGATGCACCTCTAAATGCAGCTGCCTGGTCCGATTCAGACTTGAGATCTAACCTTGGATCACAATATTCAACAATAAATTGAGAAGCCAGACAACGCCTTCCAAAAGTAATAGAAAGGTATCTGAACTGCTTTTTCTATTTCTAACCTACTTTCAGTATTTTGAATGAAGCCCTATAATTATGAAGAGCATAAAGTTTAATAGCTATGCATCACCATACACAAAAAATCTTAAACCATCCCTGGAAGGATGACCAGTAAATGATAAAAACCTATAGAATTGATTTTTAAATATTATATATAGCCATTATAAGTTCTATCAATACAATAAACTGGGTCTAAAGTCAAATAATCAGTTTAATTCCTACATTGGTGGCATGGATCAATCAATCTGGATCAACACTGTGTCGAGTTTATACTTCTGGGAAGTATAATAAATGGAAAAAGGGGAAGATTTAAGAAGATAATGATACTTTATTGAATATGAATATAGGCAAATATATAGTATCATGACAAGCCACATGCCATCCATGTATGTCATGGGGGTCATGGGGCTTATCTGAGTAATATTCCTCTTAGGTCCCGAGGCTTATTCAAGTTGTGTTCCATTTAGGATCTGGATTGGTTGATCCCCGTCATAGATGGCTTGACTGATAATGGTGCCACCGGTTTACTGGCTGGGTGGTGAACCATTCAGTGCGCCATTCAGTGATCTGCTCGGGGTGTTAATTCCCCGAGAGTGAGTAATCAAAGATGTTGCAACATCTCCCCCTGGGGTGCTGAAAGGCAGAGCATTGGGGATTTTCTTGAGAGTGTTGGGGATATGTGCTTGGTATTGATACAGTTTGGCATTTGGAACAGGGATTCTGGAGTTTTTTTGGGCTGTTCTTGCTTTGCACAGGCGGAGGCGGTCATGGTGCATATGCTTCAGTTCAGTCCAAGCTCTAATTCCTTTGATGAGATAGTGACGTAACTGTGCTGTTTTACCAGAGTTACATGGGGAAAATATTTAGAAGATAGATAATAATCTTTATTGAGAGATAATGATTATATAGTTCATGTGAATCAAGGATAGAAGGAACAAGATTGGTGATCACACGGCTGGATGGAAGAAGGGGGTGGATTGATCCTGATAATGAGTCAAGCGCCAAATTGAGGTATCCACCGTGAAGGATCATCATCTGTTCATGTTGATGGATTTGGTAATTTGAGTTGACTTCCTAGTCTGGCTTTGGGTGACCAGATAATTGGATTGCGGGTCACGAACCCACTTGGTTGGAACCTTGCTGGCGGGTTGAGCCTGCGGTTTTGAAAATAGGTGTTATAGGGTTTGACTTCCATGACAATGCCTGGTCCACACAATCCTGGGTCCAATTTGTGTTGGTTGTGGTTGACAACCCAGATTTTGTCCCCAACTTGGAATCTTTCTTGCTGCAATGGGATTGCTTCCCTTTCAACCCTTTGGTGTTCCATCTCCTCTTGGTCTTTTCTGGCTTGTAATACTCTGGGGTCACTGTTGTCTGGCACCTTTTTGGGCAGAGGTAATTGTGGTCCTGTGGCTGTACTAATGAGAGCGGTCTTTTGTTCATAGACAAGTTCATAAGGGCTTTTGCCTGTATTGTAGTTAACTCGTGTTCCACAGACCATGAGCACTGTTGGGAGCATGTCAACCCAGGCCTTTGGATTATTAGCAGATAACTTACCAAGGGCTTCTAAAAGCAATCTGTTTAGTTGTTCCACTTGTCCTTTCTCTTGGGGGTGATGTAGGCTGGCTGTGATGTGTCTTATTCCATTTTTATCAAGTACATATTGGTGTCAATAGCTTTAAGTTTGGTTCCTCCATCTGTGATTAGGAGTTAAGGTTTCCCAAACTTGGCTATGATTTCTTTCCCAATGAATTGTCTCACATTGTTGCCCTTGTGTTCTTTAGTGGCTTGCGCCACGGGCCATCTGGTTGCATAGTTGATAGCTGTGATGATGTACTTCTTGCCCTTGTTTTTGCCATACATTGATCCCACAATATCCAGTGACCATACCTTGAAGGGTTGTGTGATGGATACAGGTACTACTAACTTTCAGGTGCTTTGGTTTGGGCGTACTTCTCACAGACTTTACATTGTTCCAGTACCTCTCTGATATCATATAGCATGTTGGGCCACCAGTAGCTTGTCTTGAGGTATTAATGCAAGTTTCTGCTGCAGGTGTGTCCAAGGTCTCTGTGATATCAGAGGATTGTGTCAATCTTTTGTGTTGACGGGACGTAGGGTACGGTGTCACCATTTGAAAGTATTCAGTGTAACGTGCCATATACGTTTTGAACATGTGTTTATTCTTAAGGACCTTCTCTTGGATGTCCATTGGGGTGCCAGGTGGGAACCCTTCTTGGAGATTCCCCATGATTAACATGGGCCAGTCAGGTTGCCATCAGCGCAGAAGATGTGTTTGCTGTATAGCTTTGCCAGGGCATCTGCGGTAAACATTTCCTTGCCTGGCTTATATTCAATTTGCATGGTATATCTCTGTATGAGACTCATTGATTTGGCTTTTCTCCTTGACAAGTGTTGTTGTGTTTTGAATAATACCAGCAACTTGTGATTGGTGAGTACCTTGAACATTTGGGCTCCTTCCAAATAGCATTGCCACTTCATGAGGCAGTGTATTATGACTACCAATCCCTTGTTGTTTATGGGGTATATTTGTTTACTATCTGATAACTTCCTTGATTCATATGCCACGGGGAGGAAGTCTTTGTCTGCTGTTTGGATACGGAGTACCCCTCATATGATGTAGTCAGGTGCATTTGTTTCTAGCTTGTATATTCCCTCACAGTTTGGATATTGGAGTATAAGGGCAGTGACCATGCATTTTTTTAGTTGACAGAAGTGTTGGTCTCATAGTGGCATCCACACAAACTTGGTTATTTTGCCTGTAATGGCAGACAGGGGGGCTGTTAGGGCACCCCAATTAGGGATGAACCTTCTTACACAGGCTACCATTCCAAGGAAGGTGCTGAGTTCACTCTTATTTCTTGGAGATGGCATCTTGGTTATGGTGCGTATCTTGTCTGGGTCAGGTTTGATTCCGTCCTTGCTGATAATGTGACCAAGGAATGGGATTTCCATTGAGAAGAGCTCACGCTTTTTACAGGTTTGCAACCAATTGTTTCTCTTCAAGGGTATGGAGGACCAGGAAGACGTCCTTTCAGTGTTGTTCCAGGTTGGAACTGTAAATGATGATGTCATCAAGGTAGATGATTGCTTGTTTTCTAATGTGTTCCTTTTAAACTTTGGCATGACAAACACTCCCAGTACCTTTGTGACCTTCATGAACAAAGTTGAGAACAACACATTCAAAGGATCTGTATTTAGTTCTAAATACAGTATTTGGAATGTGTGGGGTTCCTGTCCGCCAGTCCCCAAGTGTGTCCTGGATTGTAGACAGGGACCGGCTGGAAGGGGATGTCATTCTCTAGTAAGGGGAAAATGTATCTCATAAATATGTATAGGGGTCAAAATGGGCTTTTATTCACTCTCAGAAGGAAGATCCCCTTAGAAACCTTCTGGTATACGGCCCGGGGGGTCAAGGAAACAAGATGGATTTGCCAATAATTGGAGTCCTCCAACAACATCTTGGACTCCTTGTACTTGGTCTTGGACTCCTGCACCTAAGTCTTGGACGTCTGCCCCTTAGACTTGAACTCCTGCTCCTCAAATGTGGACACCGGCTCCTCGGAATCAAACTTCTGCGCCGCACTTAGGAACCTGCTTCTTATTCTTGGGCTCCTGCTCCGTTATCTTAGGCTTCAGCTCTAACCACAATCCTGCTGGTGATCAAAAGGCTTCCAAAACCTCTTGGAAGAAACTCAAGAGACCCAGAAGTGTCCTCTCAAAGACCTGGAACGGCCTCCAAAAAAACTGTCAAAAGACTGTCAAAAGACCCCGTAACTTTCTAGCCAGCCACCTTCTTATAGTGTCCTTTTCCCAACAGTTCCGCCTTTAAAATGGCTTTCTTCATAAGCTTAAACCATTGCTGCTCACTTTTCCTTATAATAACTTAAGCTTACATACTTACTTTCCCAAAAGCTTAAAGTATTAATATACTATTTCCTTGCTTATACTTTAAGCTTTTGGCTTCCAACCAATTATTTTCATCAGAAAACCTGCCAGAACTCAACCAATGAATGCAGAGCGCGGAAATAGACCATTTCTGAAGTTCCACCGGGATCCAACTATGAAAATTATTTCCACAGCTCAAACCGTTCAAATCAACAACTCTTTGCGCACCAAAGCGTTAACCAGTCCATTATTCCGGCACCATTTCTTCCTGCATTCAATCCAAACCCATTTAAATAGTAGAATACTATTTAAATTGTTCTTTCTGGACCTCTTCAACGTTTTCCCCATATATTTACAAATATAGTAAAATCCAAGGAAAACGTCCCACCAAAACAACCTTGTATCCCGCTCTCATAGCAACATACCTTTGTCTATCCTAGGAACTTAATAAATAAATATCTTATCAAAACTTCTATCCACATTCCTTCTTGATTTTCATAATAAACCAAGGCAAAACTTTCCACATCTTCTCACTTTGGCAAATCAATTTGGCAAAATCTTGGCTCATTTCTCTGGACCACTAGTTCTTCACCATCATCTTCTGGTCCTCCAGCCAGCCTTCTTCAACAACAA